TACAGTGAGGCCTGAGACACACGGAGAGCTGGTCAGGCTGCTGCTGGGAAAAAAGACGCCTGCCGGGCCTGGACCTGGACCTGATCTTCTCCCCCGTGCCTGTGACTCTGGCTGGGAAATACTGAGCAGAGACGGCTGGGGCGGGGCAGGAGGAGGGGCTGCTCTGAGCCAGGCAGGGGTGCTCAGCCTTGACCCCTGGGCACCTCCATCCCCTCCCACCTGTTCCCAGATCAGTCTCTGGGATGGGGGCCAGAGAGCTGGTCAGGCTCCCCCGTCCCCAGCACGGCCTGCACTGTGCGCACCCACTCGCTCCACAGCACCCAGCTGGTCCCGCTGCTGAGAGCCCCGAGCAGCCAGCGGCCAAGCACAAAGACGGGGAGAGGAGGCCGCAGCCCAGAAACTCTACCTCATCTACACCGGGGCAGGGAGCCGGCCTTGAACCGGCCTTTGGTTTCTGCTTCAACCACCGAAACGTTATCACCACTTTCCCCTCACCCAAGGAGGATCCTGGCCACGGACAGTTTCAAGCAGTGTCAGGTTTTTGTTGCTTGGGTGGCTGTTGGTAGAGTGGGCAGTGCCCACACCATGGGGTGCTCTGTGGGCTCCTCCAGGAGCAGGGAGGGTGGAGGGGAGGGATGGGGAATACAGGAGCTGAGAGCCCCGTCTCCAGGGAAAGGAGAGGGGTTAGGATGCACCGAGGCTGTAGCTGGGCTACTTGCTCTTGCTGGAAGTGTTTCTAAAGATAGCACCACTTTTTTTTTAAAAAAAAAAAAAAAAAAAAAAAAAAAAAGCTTTTATATATTAAAAAAAAGTATCATGCACCAACTGTGAATAGCTGCCGCTTGCGCAGAGGACCCGGGGAAGGGTCCCGAGAGGCTCCCCCTGCAACACTGGAAAAGACTGCTCCAGAGATCGGGCAGACCTGGCAGAGCACCCCCGGCGCCTGAGACCACCTCCCATCCCGCTCCTGCCAGAAGTGACCCTCTGTGGCCGAGGGGCCATGTCGGCCCCTCGAAGTCGACTCAGCCAGTGTTGGGACTGGCTCAGAGCCCATGGGGGCTGGAGGGGGACAGCTGGGACTCTGGAATCTTCTTTATAATAAAAGCCTGACAGGCAAACCTCCTGTGGGCTCCAGCCTTTGTCCTAAGATAGCCAAGCGGGGAGATGGTCAGTTTCTTTACCAGTTTGTGAGAGAGGAGGGAGGGAGCCTGCCATCCCTCCTGCCTCAGCTGCACTCTGAGGTTTGGGCAGGCACGGAGATGAAACAAGACGGTACAGGCTGTGTACACATTATGGGCCTGGCCTGGGGCTGACATTCCTTAAGCTCTGAAGATACCCTGGAATATCCAGGAAGATTTCACAGCTGCTGTGCGCTGCCGGAAACTGTGTGGGCCCTGCTCCTCACCTCAGCTCTAACCAGCCCATGAGGAACGTGCTAGCGTCCCTATGTGACAGACCTAGCAACCCAGGCTCAGCACAGCTGAGGTGTTTCTCAAGATCCCACAACAAGGAAGGAGCAGAATGAGAACCAGGTCACATGGGCCCTTCCTTCCTCTGTCCCAGGCACCCTCCAGGCCAGAGTCTCCTCAGTGGTCCCCCAAATAGGTGGGAGGGCAAAGATGACCATCCTAGAAAGGGAGCTGACACTTGCCCCGAATTTCTCATCAAGCTTAAAAAGTACGTAGCATTGGCCAGACGCGGTGGCTCACGGCTGTAATCCCAGCACTTTGGGAGGCCGAGGCGAGCGGATCACGAGGTTGAGATGGGGACCATCCTGGCTAACATGGTGAAACCCCATCTCTACTAAAAATACAAAAATTAGCCAGGCGTGGTGGCGTGTGCTTATAGTCCCAGCTACTCGGGAGGCTGAGGCAGAAGAATCGCTTCAACCTGGGAGGCGGAGGCTGCAGTGAGCCAAGATTGTGCCACTGCGTTCCAGCCTGGCAACAGAGTGGGACTCCAAAAAAAAAAAAAAGTGCATAGCATTAAGCCCATTTATCGGAAGAGGAAGCAGGCAGTTTAACCCCTAAGCACAGTTTAACCCTAAACACTGATCACAGTACAGGCTGTTCCTCACCCCTGCCCACAGGAACAGTGAACCTGACACAGACACTCCCTTCCAGCCCGCTAGCTCCTCCCCCACCCCAGGGAAAGGGAAAGATCTCAAGAGCCGGCTCCAAATGTACAGCAACTCTAATTTCTTGCTTTTGTAAAGGAAAAATAGTTACACACGTACTTATCAAGAGTAAGAACTAGGACAAAAGATTCATACAATTTAAACAAAATCCCACAAATACCAGTTCTAGAATTAATGAGAACAGAAAAATGAGGAGAAAAGTAAACAAGCTTTTGCTTTAAAAATAGCTTTTTCCTGTAGTGGCTTCTGTGTGGAAAGATAGTCTTTATCTTTCACATGTTCTATTCTGAGCATTGATTCCTTCTTATTAAGCAGCAGATTTTCTAATTTAAGTTACCAGCACATTTGATAGCATTTGAGGGTGAGGGAGGCGGGTGTGACTCTAGAATGAATACCCGGTTCCCAGAGAAATGTAGGAAGCACAAAGAGCGTGAAGAAAATAAAACCTGCCCTAACCCTCCGTGACTAGCGAGCGTTTCCCAGAACGCCACCCGCGTAGGGTGCTTAGATAGGGCGGGGCCGAGGAGTGAATTCAGGATCAGGGCGTGCACACCATTTTGCAACCTGATTTTCCCCCATGCGACAATATGTCAGTAACATCTTTCTATGTCATTAAATATTCCACAGCCTGTCTTAATGTCTGATTAACATGCAGTTCCTCCTTGAAGTTCAGAAACGTATCTGCTAATGGAGGAAATCTCTAGTTTTCAGAGTCGTTTCTCAGCAGGGAAAGTGGCCATCTTCCATGAACCAGCTATAATCCTTATCTGGGGCTCTAAGGACCTGGCAGCTATGGGCAGCAAGCAGGTCCCTACCCTTTGAGGGTCATAGGAGGCTGGGGACCTCTGACGTAGCATCCTCAAACTAAACTCCTTTCAAAAGGGAAGAAAGCATTGCAGCTAAGGGGGGTGACTTGCCAAGGTTTCACAGACGCTAGACACCCCCTGCCCCCGCCTCCAGCTCATGGACATGAGATGCCCAGTGATGCCCTCTGCACTGCAGCCTGCCCAGAGGTGCCCCCCACAGCTCCAGGCCAAGCCGTGAATGAGTGGTGGCAGGAGCAGACCCCTCCTCGGGAAGCACCAGCCCAGCCCCACGGCACCCACCATCTGCTCTGGGCGCCCCTCTGGGCCCTGCTGGCAGCCACATTACCGATACCCGAGGGAGGCTGTCAGCACATCTAGGCAAAGTCAGGATTCCAGGAGGAGAGTGGGGTGACGGAGCAGGGGCAGGCAGAGAGCAGCTGATGCCCCATGCTGAGCAGCCTGCCTCCCTCTGCGCTCTCTGTCCCCCTCTCAAGTCCTGTGCAGTTTGCCTCTGACACTCCCTTTAGTCCATCGCTCCTCTCTGTCCTCTGTGGCTTGGCTGCCACCTGTCATCAGGACCACATCTCAGCAGCCTCCCAGCACGTGCCGAGTCCTCACCTCAGGAAATGGTCACCCAGCAGTCACCTAGCTGTCTAGACCCCAAACTGTGGACTCATCAGCGACCCTTCTTCTATCCAATCCATCAGCAAAGCCCGTCCACACCACCTTCAACAGCGACCCAGAATCTACCACTTGTAACCCTCCCTCTGTGAGCATGTCCTGGCTGGCCACCACTCCCTCATCTGGGCGGTGGCAGGGGCCTTCCCGAAGGCCTGTCTGACTGCCCACATCCCTGCAGTGACTCTGCTGCTGGCCGTCCTCTAATGGTTCCCTATTAACAATTAAAGCCCACCATGCTTGCCCTTGGCTTACAAGGCCCTGAGTGATCCAGCCCTCATCTGCTCTAGAGCCCTTGTTCCAGTGAAATGAGGGGATCTGTTTAGAAAGATCTATTGCTTTGGGACATACCACCCCAGGACATAGTGGCTTGAAATAACAGCAGTCACTTATTTTGCCCACGAATCTGCAATTGGGGCAGGGCTTGGCAAGAAAGGCTTGTCCCTGTTCCACCAGGTGTCTGCTGGGGCAGCTCAATTAGGGCTGGAAGATGCACTTCCGACATGCTGCACTCAGACGGTGGCACATGGTACCAGCTGGTCAGGGAGTTCAGCAGGGGCTGAACGTTGGGGTCCTCAGTTCCCCTCCACAAGTTTCTTGGGCTTCCCCATAGGATGGTGGCCAAGTTCGAAGAGTGAGTATCACAAAACAAAAATCGTCCCCAAACACAAGAAGTAGAAGCTGCCTTAAGGTGGGGCCCAGAAATTGTCATCACGTCATTGTCACTGAATTCTACTAGTCAAGCAGTCATGGAGCCCAGAGTGGAGGGGCAGGGAACCAGAGCCCGCCTCTCCATGTGAGGAGTGCCGAGAATGTTAAAGCCCCTGGACCTCATCTCCCATGCCTGTCCTCTTTACTGGGCTCTAGCCACACAAACCTTCCTGTGGCTCCCAGCCTGCGGAGCATGTTCCCACCCCAGGGCCTTTGCACCCACTCTTCCTTCTGCTGAAATGTGACCCACTCCAGATACAAGGTCCCTGCTCAGACGCCCCTCCCATCCTGTCTCAACTAGCAGCCAGCCCTACCTGCCCTGCTGGAAACCCCACCCCACCTCCTCTTCAGAGCACAGGTACTGGCTGCTTCGGAGTAGATCTGTTGACTGTCGCTGTGCCTGGCCCAGTAGCACTTGGGAACCAGTGGCTGAAAGGTCTCCCTCTCTTCTCAGCCACTCTAATCCTTCCTTTCCACAGCCAGAGGGTTCTTTCTAAGCAGATCCCTCTCCTTTCACCCCACCCCTCACACGGCGCCCTTGGCCTCATCCGCCTGGCAAAGGCTACCCATCCTTTAGGATCAAATGCCACCTCCTCCTGGAAGCCTGATCTCAGGGCCGGGTTAATTATCCCCCACCAGCTCCTTTGCATCCCAATATCTGATATCTGTGCCGCAGCCCCATACAGCACACAGTCTCCCCGAGGCAGGACCTCCTATCTGAGCCCCAGCATTGGCCAGGTAAACAGCGGGTGCTCAGGGGATGTTCATGGAGGACCGAATGGCCAAGTCCTTGAACCTCAGCCCCTACCCACACAATTGCGGGGGAAAAAGGAACAAGTCTTTATTGATAAATAACTTACAATGAAATAAATAGAGCAGTGGTTTGTTAAAGAATAAAAACTAGGACAGAGGCTAGGTATCTCTCCGCCCCTGCCTCCGGCCCTAAGCTTCAGCCCTCTGGCTGGACACTCTGGATGATGAGGACTTGATGTTGATGGGCAGCCCAGCCTTTCTCGAGCCCTTAGGGGCCTCTGTCTTCCTGGACAGGTGTGCAGGCACCACCTTGGACCCACTGGCCTTAGCAGAAGCACCCTTGGCATTCGGCCCCTGCCCAGCCACGGGGGCAGCTGCCCCTCTAGGGGCCTGGGCCTTGGCCTTGGCTACCAACTTCTTTTTGGTTGGGGAAGCAGCACCATTCTTGACCTATACAAAAGCAAACCAGGACCAAAGAGACAGCTGGGAAGGGCTGAAATCTCAGCTCTGGATGGCTCTGGGTACACAACATTTCCCTTCTAAGCCTTAGTCTCTTATTTGTAAGATGAGGATGGCAACACCGCCAGGGGGCCGGGGGACCAGAGAGGAGAAGGTGGTGGACTGTGCTTTCTAGGAAAAGAAATTGATACCCATCCCCAGCTGAGCCTTCCAGGGGCTGGGTGTGGGATGCCCAAGCGCTGGGCTGTATAGGGTAGGCAGCTAGACCAGCAAAGTCGTGCAGGCACCTACCTTGCTGACTGTGGGTCTTGAACTCTTACTCCCGGCTTTGGTTTTCCTGCAGGCCTCAGCATCTCCTGCAATGTGATGGAGGAGGTTTTGTGGGAGAAGGAAGAGGAACTGCTGGTGGGGCAGGAAGTTTCAGGGGCTCTGGAACCCCCATTCCTCCTGGATCCTAGTCTTCACTCAGCTATGTGACGTGTGGCAAATCGTTTAGCCACTCTGAGCCTCAGTGGCCTAGTTTGAAGACAGGAATAACAGCACCCCCCTCACAGAGTGGCTGGGGATTAACTGAAGCCCTCACTCTATGCAATGCACTGGGGCTCCAAGCCCACGGACGCCACAGGCTCCTAACAGGCCTGTCACCTCTAGTCTTTAGTTTGTCTTCCACCAGGCAGCCAGGATACTTTTTTTTTCTTTCAAGACAGGGTCTCACTCTGTCACCCAGGCTGGAGTGTGCTGGTGTGATCTCAGCTCACTGCAGCCTTGACCTCCCAGGCTCACATGATCCTCCTGCCTCAGCCTCCCGAGTAGCTGGGGCGACAGGTGTGCAACAGCAAGCCCGGCTAATATTTTTATATTTCACAGAGTTGGGATCCCACTGTGTTGCCCAGGCCGGTCTCTACCTCCTGGGCTCAGCACTCACCTGTGTGACAGAGCAAGAGCCTGTCTCTGAAAGAGCAAGAGGGAAAAAAAGAATAACTCTAGCCTTAGCTTCTTCCTGTCAATCCTCCCACAGCTCCACACTGTCCTCCAGACAAAGCCCTGATTCCAGCTGCCTTCACAGCTTCTCCTTGCCGACACTGCAGGTAGACTGAAATATTTGCAGTTCCTCAAAAACTCCACCTTCTTTTTATGTTTTGTTTTGAGACAGAGTCTCACTCCATCACCCACGCTGGAGTGCAATGGTGCGATCTCAGCTAACTGCAACATCTGCCTCGTGGGTTCAAGTGATTTTCCTGCCTCAGCCACCCAAGTAGCTGGGATTATAGGCATGCACCACCATGCCCAGCTAATTTTTGAATTTTCAGCAGAGATGGTGTTTCATCATGTTGACCAGGCTGGCCTCAAACTCCTGACGTCAAGTGACCTGCCCGCCTTGGCCTCCCAAAGTGTTGGGCTTACAGGCATGAGCCACTGTGCCTGACCCAAAACCCTACCTTCTTTATGCCTTCAGGCCTTTGCACAGCCTCTTCCCCTGCTTGGGACACCTCCTCCAGGAAGCCTTCCCTGACCCCTGCCTCAAGGATGAGTCAGGCTACTGGTCTCTGTTTCCCCCTTCATAACCATTGAAATGTCTGCCTCCTTCCCCCAACTGGCTACCATGAGTTCTCTCTCCCCAGGTCAAGCCCAGCACTCAGGGCACATGCACTAGAAGGAAACCCCTCTCCAGAGCTGGCTCCCCAATCCCACTCCAGTGGCTGTCAAAAACCCTATACCCACACCACCCTCCACAAGTCACACAGTTACCTTGGCTCCTCCTGCTGCCTTTGGCCTCTGTCTTCCTGCTGAACCCGCTGGCACTAGAAGGGGGCCGCATGGCCTTGTCTGGCTTGGGGGGCAGCTTCTGTGCCTTGGTGTCCTTGGCCTTGCTGCCTTGCTTGCAAGCTTTTTCTGTGGCTGCACCTGGCTTGAGAGGAAACTTCTGCACCTCTGCTGGCCTCTTGGCTGCCTTTTTCACCTTGTCTGCCTTGGGAGGCTCCTCCTTGGCCTCATCTGGTTTCTTGGGGACCTTCTCCTTGGTCTCACCCACTCTCCTGGGGGCCTTCGGCGGGGGCATCTTCCTGGGCTTGATTTTCCTCTTGTGCTTGGTAACTAACTGGAAGAGGACACAGGGTAGGACTGAGATCGGAGCCTCAGGTGCCTCATGTCCCCATCCTCCAAACGGGAGGCCTCATTCCAAATCTGAGGGCTCTGCAGTCAATGAGGGTCGGGCAGAAGGCACAAAGCCACTGTCCTCGGAGGCACTGTCTACTACAGTTCTAGGATCTCATGACCTCTCAACCACACCCCCTGCACCCGCCACTTTCCCACAGATCATGCCTCTGGACTCCCCCTCCCCTCATCCTGCAGTGCTGCCCTGCCTCATGCCCCATGCCCCTGCCACCTTGCCCCTTGATACTCAGCAGAACATGGGCTGAGGGCAGATGACTCTGGGCTCATGGCTTCCTCCGCCCCCTCCAGCCATGTACAACAGCCACATCTTCTCATCTTTACAGCAGGACCATTACCAAGGGTGTGAGTGGCAGGGGTAAGGGAAGGCTCCTGGCAAGCTGTTACTTCCCTGCCCCCCAACCCTCAGGGCTTCCCATGACCAAGATTAGAAACCACTCGAAGCCCCCAACTGCCAGCACACCGCATCAGACACCAGCCGCCCCTCTGGCTCTTCCCTGCCCAGCCGCCTGGCCCTGCCGTGACGCAAGTCCAGGCTCTGACTGGCACCCAGGAGTTCCACCACGGTGGGACTTCATGTGATCTGTCACCCGGCAACCACAGGGACCGGCAAGGGGAAGGCTGAGAATGTTCCCCAGTGTTCCATGGCAACCGTCACCGCAGCTGCTATGTGCTGGAAGTTGGGCAAGATGCAGGGGCCCAGCAATGACAAGTCAGGCCCTGGGTCTGGTCCCTGAGGTTTTCCTGATGGCTGATGACAGTCCTGATGCTGGGGTGCAGTTTTGTCCCAGACCTGCCCCAGCTCTGAATGACCTGGCATGGATCCCCTCTTGGAGTCTCCTTATGAGGATGAAACACTCTCCTTTGAAACAGAGGACACGGCTGCTCAGGGAGGTGCCAGCCCCTAACCTGGGCTTGGAGCCAGAGAGAGGAGGGCGAAAACCCTTTGCTGTGGTGAGGAATTCCGGGAAGGGGCTGCGTGCCCAGGACCCAGAAATGAGCACAGCTGGCATAGTTCCTGGGATCCCAAACATGCAGCAGTTCACCTGTCCTGGACAACAATAGGGTGACCCTTGCAGTGGGAGCTTGGAGGGGGGCACACCACCGGCCTTCCTGGAGGAGAGGGCATCTCGGCTGAGACTACAGAAGGAACATGAACAGGGGACCGGAGGGGAAAGGCCTTCCAGGAGAGGCTGCAGCTCTCGCAGAGGCCAGGAATATCACTGCAACCCTGGGCCACATTCTCCCACATGGGTGCTTACTTTGAAGCTGCCAGTGGCCCCCCTGGCTTTGGAGTTGAGGGGCCTGGCAAGGAGGCCACGGCGCATGCCAGTGGCCAGCGCCTGCTTCAGCAGGTACTTGAAGCGAAGGACATCCATCGTTGGGTACTTTTTCAGGATGTAGAGCTTGATGGCTGCCACCGACGTGCCCCGGCGCTGCTCCCCTGCCTGCAGCGCCTCCAGCACCATGCGCAGCACGGGGGGGTGACGGCGTCCTACTGGGAAGCTGCTGCGGCTTGGGCCTGAGGACAAATGGCAGGCCATCACCTGGGGCCCAGTCATAACTCAGTGGCAGGCGTCGGCTGGCCTGTGGGGTGTGGCTGAGGGCCCAGTAAGGATCAGATGCCCCCTCTCACCAAGACACTAACTGCTGGCATGAAAGCTCCTGAACAGTCTCCCTCAAAGCTCATTGAGTCTCTCTCTCTCTCTGAGACACAGTCTCGCTCTGTCCCCAGGCTGGAGTGCAATGGTATGATCTCCACTCACTGCAACCTCTGCCTCCTCATGATCCACCTGCCTTGGCCTCCCAAAGTGCTGGGATTACAACCATGACTCACCATGCCCGGCCGAGTCTCTCTTTTTAAAGAAAAAGGGAGAAGAATCAAATAGATGCAATAAAAAACGATACAGGGGAGATCACCACTGACCCACGGAAATACCAACTACATCAGAGATGACCACCAACAGCTCTGCTCACGTAAACCAGTAAACCAGGAAGAAATGGATACATTCCTAGACACTTGTACTCCACCAAGACTAAACCAGAAGGAAGCTGAAACCCTAAATAGACCAATAACAAGGGCTGAAGTAGAGCAGCAATCAATAGCCTACCAACCAAAAAAAGCCCAGGTCCAGATGGGTTTACAGCCGAATTCTACTAGACGTACAAAGAGGAGCTTGTTCCATTCCTTCCGAAACTGTATCAAACAATACAAAAGGAGGGAACCCTCCCTAACTCACTTTATGAAACCAACATCATCCTGATTCCAGGCAAAGACTCAACTAAAAAAGAAAACTTCAGGCCAATATCCATGATGAACATCGACACAAAAATCTTCAATAAAATACTGGCAAACAGATTGCAACAGCACATCAAGAAGCTTATCCATCACGATCAAGTAGGCTTCATCCCGGGGATACAAGGTTGGTTCAACATACGCAAATCCATTAATGTAATCCATCACATAAACGGAACCAAAGACAAAAACCACATGATTATCTCAACAGATGCAGAGAAGGCCTTCGATAAAATTCAACAGCACTTCTGCTAAAAATTCTCAATAAACTAGGTATTGACAGAACATATCATAAAATGATAAAAGCTACATATGACAAACCTACAGCCAATATCATACTGAACGGGCAAAAGCTGGAAGCATTCCCTTTGAAATCAGGCACTAGACAAGGATGCCCTCTCTCACCACTCCTATTAAATATAGTATTGGAAGTTCTAGTCAGAACAGTCAGGCAGGAAAAAGAAATAAAGGGTATTCAATTAGGAAAGGAGGAAGTCAAGCTGTCTCTATTTGCAGATGACGTGATTGTATATCTAAAAGACCCCATCGTCTCAGCCCAAAATCTTCTCAAACTGATAAGCAACTTCAGCAAAGTCTCAGGATACAAAATCAATGTGCAGAAATCACAAGCATTTCTAAACACCAATAACAGAGAGCCAAATCAAGAGCGAACTCCCATTCACAATTGCTACAAAGAAAACAAAATATCTAGGAATACAACTGACAAAGAATGTAAAGGACCTCTTCAAGGAGAACTACAAACCACTGCTCAACGAAATGAGAGGACACAGATGGAGAAACATTTCTTGCTCATGGTTAGGAAGAATCAATATCGTGAAAATAGCCATACTGCCCAAAGTAATCTATAGATTCAACACTATCCTCATTAAGCCACCAATGGCCTTCTTCATAGAACTGGAAAAAACCGCTTTAAACTTCATACGGAATCACAAAAGACCCTGCATAGCCAAGACAATCCTAAGCAAAAAGAACACAGCCGGAGGCATCACACTGCCAACTTCAAACTATACTACAAGGCTACAGTAATCAAAAACAGCATGGTACTGATACCAAAACAGAGACATAGACTAATGGAACAGAACAGAGACCCCAGAAGAAACACCACACATCTACAACCATCTGATTGTTGACAAACATGGCAAAAACAAGCAATGGGGAAAGGATTCCATGTTTAATAAATGGTGTTGGGAAAACTGGCTAGCAGTGTGCAGAAAGCAGAAACTGGACCCCTATCTGTCGCCTTACACTAAAATTAACTTCAGGTGGATCAAAGATTTAAACATAAAATCTAACACCATAAAAACACTAGAAGAAAACTTAGGCAAAACCAACCAGGACATAGGCATAGGCAAGGACTTCATGACTAAAACACCAAAAGCAATGGCAACAAAAGCCAAGATAGATAAATGGGATCTAATTAAATTCCAGAGCTTCTGTACAGCAAAAGAAACCATCAATAGAGCGAATCGGCAACCAACAGAAAGGGAAAATATTTTTGCAATCTACCCATCTGACAAAGGGCTAATATCCCTAAATAACTAAAACAGACATACAAGAAAAAAAAAACCCAATTCAAAAGTGGGCAAAGGATATGAACAGACACTTTTCAAAAGAAGACATATGAGGCCAACGAACATATGAAAAATGCTCATCACTGGTCATTAGAGAAATGCAAATCAAAACCACACTGAGATACCATCTCACACCACTTAGAATGACGATCATTAAAACATATGGAGACAACAGATGCTGGAGAGGATGTGGAGAAATAGGAACACTCTTACACAGTTGGTGGGAGTGTAAATTAGTTCAACCATTGTGGAAGACAGTGTGGCAATTTCTCAAGGATCTAGAAACAGGAATTCCATTCGACCCAGCAATCCCATTACTGGGCATATACCCAAAGAACTATAAATCGTTCTACTATAAAGACACATGCACATGTGTGTGTTCTCTGCAGCCCTGTGTACAATAGCAAAGAACCTGGAACCAACCCAAATGCCCATCAATGATAGACTGGACAAAGAAAATGTGGCATATATATACCATGGAATACTACGCAGCCATAAAAAACGATGAGTTCGTGTCCTTTGTAGGGACATGGATGAATCTGGAAACCATCATTCTCAGCAAACTGACACAAGAACAGAAAGCCAAACACCGCATGTTCTGACTCATAGGCAGGTGTTGAACTATGAGAACACATGGACACAGGGAGGGGAGCATCACACACTGTGGTCTTTTGTGGCGGGTGAGGTGGGCAAGGGAGGGACAGCAGGGGATAGGGAGGGAGGGAAGGGCGGGGAGGGATAACATGGGGAGAAATGCCAGATATAGTATGCACCTAAAGTAAAATAAATAAATTTAAAAGTGTATATATGGAAGGAAGAAGAATTAAGTATTCCTTTAGAAAACTCTAAACCAGGTGAATTTTCTAGACCTAACTACCAGTTTACAGGCCCTCCAGGGGCTTCGTCCACACTCTCAGAGGCACGCTGACATACAGACGCTCCAGGGCACACAGCCCGGTTTCTTCTTCCACAAACAAGGGGGGAAAGGAAAAGTGGGAGGGGCACCCTATGGACTAAAGATCCTTAGGAAACCTCTCAACCAAATGCTCATTCCCAGAGCAGGATTTGAACAACCCAATTAGAAAAAGAAAGGCAACAGATAAACGTGAGCACTGGAAGGAAATGTTGGGTATTAAGGATAATATTGTTTCAGGTGTGCTAATAGTATTGCAATGGCTTTTTAAAAGGTTCTTATCTATTAAAGATAACTATTATAAAAGATATTTACAGATGAAATGATAAATCAATCCAGCATTTGCTTTGAAATAACCCAGCAGATGAAACAAGAGCATCCCCAAGCTGAAGACCGTTGGGGTGGGTGCTGGGTACCGTGGAAGGGAGTCACAGACCGTTTGGTAGTCTACATTTGTATCCATTTGAAAGTTTTTGTTTTTTTGTTTTTTTGAGACAGGGTCTCAATCTGTCACCCACTCTGGAGTGCAGTGGCACAATCATGGCTCACTGCAGCCTTGACCTCCCCAGCTCAAGCGATCCTCTCACCTCAGACTCCAAAGTACCTGGAACCACAGGCACACGCCGCCATGCCCGGCTAATTTTTGTATTATTATTTTTTGACACAGCAGTCTCACTACATTGGTCAGGTTAGTCTCAAATTCCCGAGTTCAAGCTACCCTCCCATCTTAGCCTCCCAGAGTGCTGGGATTACAAGCATGAGCCACCATGCTCGGCCCTGAAAGCTTTCATAATAAAAAGTTACCAAAAACTTCCACTCTTAGGTATATACCCGAGGGAAATGAAAACATGTGTCTACTCAAAAATGTATACATGAATGTTCATAGCAGCATATTCATGTCAGCCCATGAATAATGAGAATAAAGAGAAAAACAGCCCATGATGAATGATGGACAGATGGATGAACAAAATGTGGTCTCTATCCACCCCGTGGAATATTATCCAGCCATACAAAGGACTGAAGCCTTAGCACATGCTATGGCATGGAGGAACCCTAAAAACATGCTAGGTGGGGCCTTGCGTGGTGGCTCACGCCTGTAATCCCAGCACTTTGGGAGGTCGAGGTGGGTGGATCACAAAGTCAGGAGTTCAAGACCAGCCTGGCCAATATGGTGAAACCCTGTCTCTACTAAAAAATACAAAAATTAGCCGGGCATGGTAGCATGCGCCTATAGTCCCAGCTAATTGGGAGGCTGAGGCAGGAGAATCGCTGGAACCCTGGAAGCGAAGATTGCAGTGAGCCGAGATCACAACACTGCACTCCAGCCTGGGCAACAGAGTAAGACTCTGCTATAAAAAAAAAAAAAAAAAAAAAAAAACATGTCAGAAAAAGCCACATATTGTCTGATTCCATTTATGTGAAATGTCCAGAAGAAGCAAATCCATAGACGCAGAAAGCAGATTGGTGGTTGCCAGGGCTGGGGAGTGGGGGTGGAGAGTGACTGCTGATGGGTACTGGTTTTCTTGAAGTGATGAACAGATTCTAAAATTGACTGCAGAGATGGATACACAACTCTGAATATACTAAAAGCCATTGTACACTTTAAAGGGTGATTTGTATTGTACTGGGAATTATTTCTCAATAAGCTGTTATTAAAAAGTTGCAAATGAAGTAGAATCAAGGGTGAGGAGAAACATGAGAAGCTGTCAGTCACCATGAAAAGCATTCAAAGGGTTTTAAATATGAAACTGGATTTAAATGTGATTGGAAATGTTGATTTCTGATCAACCTGCAGAATTTAAAAGTTTAAATTCTAGGCAATATCGTGAGACCTCGACTCTACAAAAATCTTTAAAAATTAGCAGAGTCGGCCAGGCGCGGTGGCTCAAGCCTGTAATCCCAGCACTTTGGGAGGCCGAGGCGGGTGGATCACGAGGTCAAGAGATCGAGACCATCCTGGTCAACACGGTGAAACCCCGTCTCTACTAAAAATACAAAAAATTAGCTGGGCATG